CAGTTCTAGTCCTACACACAGCCACAAGGATGTTTCATGAAAAATGTTAGAAGCTCAAAACAGTGCTAGAAAGAAGACCTTTATCATAATTTTTGTAATGTGTCCTTGCACTAGAGGGGGAATATCACTTGTTATGTCTGGGAAACCTACCATTCTTTTAGAAATAACAGAATCTGCAAAACCTGAGTACACTATCAGAGGTGTGACATCCAGTTTCTTCTTTATTAAAAACATACTGTGTTTTATGTCAATGAATTAGTTGCAGTATTTGCTGTCTGCTTGATCTGCTGCTTGAGTATGTCATCTGTCTGCTTCTGAACATTTTATCACAATTTTTGCAGACAACTGCAGACAGAGTCCACACGGAGATGTGAGAGACAATCTACATGGGACAAGGAGCTGTAGAATGCTTTAAATCCAACTTGAAAGACTGTGCTGTTCAATAAAAACAATAATGAAGATTCTTAAGGAAAACTACGTCAAATACTTATAAATATATCAGAGATTATAATAAGTTTTTAAAATCCATTGAGGTAATCTGCAGCTCTACCAACCAGTGAAGAAGGTGCAATGAAGGCTGCCAGTGAGGCTACAAAGCAGCTCTCTCTTTCAAGGAGCTCACCAAACTCTGAACATTTAAGACTGTCAGTTACTTGGTGAATTTCTTCAGAACAAGTTGTGGAGACATACACAAATAGGACTTGTACAATTATGTATACTGATACTTTTCATATTATTAAGTAAATTATGAGCTAGAAAAAGCAGCAAGTACTTACCTTATTTTCTTTCCCCTTTCAGAAACATATTTTAGCATAAGAACAGATCCCATGGGGTCACAAACAATCCATCCGTCTTTTGTTTCTGGAAAACGGGTGACTAGCTTAGTTTGCCATCTCTATGCTTGGCTACTCCTACAGCTATCCTAGTCCTCACATTTGTGTTCTCTCTCATCTTGCTGCTCTTAGCCCAAGTATTTTTGCGCATTTCAATCAGGTATCCCCTGATTAGCAACAACTTTCCCTATTCTCCTTCTGGCTTTTTGTGCTCCAACATTCTGCACACAGCTAAGAAAAATGGTTCTTCGTTAGATATCCTCTCACTACAAGACAGACACTGAGGTGCTGGAGCGTGTCCAGAGAAGGGCAACGAAGCTGGTGAAGGGCAACGAAGCTGGTGAAGGGTCTGGAGAACAGGTCTTGTGAGGAGCGGCTGAGGGAACTGGGGTTGTTTAGTCTGGAGAAGAGGAGGCTGAAGGGAGACCTTATCGCTCTCTACAGCTGCCTGAAAGGAGGTTGTAGTGAGGTGGGGGTTGGTCTCTCCTCCCAAGTAACAAGCAATAGGACAAGAGGAAATGGCCTCAACTTGCACCAGGGGAGGTTTAGATTGGACATTAGGAAAAACTTTACCAAAAGAGTGGTCAAGCATTGGAACAGGCTGCCCAGGGAAGTGGTGGGGTCACTGCCCCTGGAGGTGTCCAAAAAACGTGCTGATGTGGCACTTCCGGACATGGTTTAGTGGGCATGGTGGTGTCAGGTCAACGGTTGGACTTGATGATCTTGAGGTCTGTTCCAACCTAATGATCCATCTTTTGTCCCTCGCTCTTTCCCCATTCAATGAAGCCTTATTAGGATTTAACAACGAACTATTGGCTATTTACAATGCTGAGGTTTTATTCATATTTTGAGTTTTATCAGATACATATGTATATAAGGAAGAATTTTTAGTTTAAAATCTCCACATCCCTAGCTTCCTCAACAGAGTATTCAAATACCTTCCAGAACGCAATTATTAAAGTGCATCTTTGTGATAATTTCAAAAAATGATACCTTGCTCAAATGTTTTTTCCTTCAAAAGGAAAAAAACCTCCAAAACTTAAAAAAAATAAAACAGCATTATTCACATCCAGAAGGCTTTTAAGTTTGTTTCTGGACAAATACAGCATCCTCAGACTCTTCATGTATCTAATCTCTTCAGATATCATGAAAGAATATTTGCAGGACCGATGAGGTTCAATGAGCCTTTGCAGAAAATGTAGCTCCCCTAAGAATATTTTTTATCTTCTTACCTTTTAAGCTTATGCTCCAATTTTTTTAATTTATAAAGAGAACAAAGCTTTTCAATTGACACCTTGATGTATTTATTTAATCCGGAACACAGAGACTACATCAGTTTATTTTTAATTTTACCGCACTTTTTTTTGGTGTGAACGATTCTTTTTATGCCCTTTTATAATGTACAGAGGCAACTGCTAAGGACTTTAGCTGTATTCAAAAATACGTATATCATATGCCTCTAGTGATTAATCATAACCCATCTGCTCCAAGAGGAGGCCGGTCTTTTTCCATGTCTGAACTTGCCCAATTGTACCCATTGCTTTCAATAAGTTCTTTCCTTTAAGAATATTGTACACAATTTATTGCAGATCACTAGACAGCTTCCCACCCATTCATGTAAGTGTTCCTACTGGAATTTTTAAAATCTCAATTAATCTTGCAAAATAATTACCTAACAGCCCTCAAAAGAAATAGTGGCTGAAGAAACTGATGGCAACGCATTGCAGAGAAAAGCAATAAATACATGTAAACTCAAAATAAGTAGTGCCATTTTGCAGAGAAAATGTAATCTGACGAAGAAGTTAAAAGCTAATTTCTGAAAAAAAATATCTCAGTTTCACTTGATCATTTTTAGGTATGGAGAAATTCAATAGTGTTTTCAAATACAGCTTTTCAGAAGAGTTCAAGTTTAACTGCTAAAATGCTAAGGATAAATTTTGTTTAGAAACAACTTCATTTCATAACGAGTAAATCTTTGTCTGCTTGAACAGGAATAGTCAGTTGTTGGAGAATTTGTACTACAGTAGGACACTAAAGTCATAAAAATAAAATGAGTAAACTTATCAATACTAGAAATTAATAAGTGAACAATCTAAGTTCAAAATAAAAAGTGACCACAAGAAGATTTGCCACAAATAAACCGATTTATTACTTTTTGGCAAGTCCCATACAGCATGAGCAAGGATCTTTCACTCTCTATATTAAAACATTATTTTGCTTTATACAAATTGTAAACATCTTCAACAGGACAAACTGTTGGTACAGGTGTTCCACAATTCTGGCATCTCTTATCTGTCAGTTAATTAAACAAGAATGAAAACGCAGTAAACCAAAGAACCTTTTTCACAGGTTATCTATAAAATGCACCATGTGCATTTCATATCATACAAATTTTAAGCACTACAGAGAAGAGTATTTCTGATAATTATTTTTAGAGAAATTCATAGTGGTATTATGAATAGAGACACTTTTTCCATACTGTTGTATCCAACTTTTTGATTGAAATTAAAAACATTGGTTTATACAATCATGGTGGTAAACCAAATTCTACAGTAAACCAGCTGCTATAAATGCAGCTGTATTTGCTATACTGTATCAAATAAATAAGGATGTAAAAACTCCTGATTTGATTAATACTTTGTTTTCTCAGCTTCACACCAGTCTAAAGAAGTAGTAATTCAAGTTATGCTTGTCCAACCCCCCCTGTTATAATTTGTCTGATTTTTTCCCCCTCCCTCTCTCTCAAAGTGCTTTAAATCAGACAATTTGATCCATAAAGTGAACACTTATGTCCTCCTTCTTAAGAGCAGATTTTTCTTTCTAATTTATAAATCCCAGGAACGTCAATCTGCTGGCTACCTTTACTGAAGGACTACAAGATGCGCACTCTTAGCTCATAATCCTCAATTCAGGGAAAAGGTGTTTTAACTTAACCTGAATTGCTTTTCATTCCAAACCAACTCCTCAGCACTAAAATACAGACAGTTCTCATGTTATTGACTAAGACTTTAAAACAAAAAAAAATTGTTAAAAAAACAACTGCATTACAACTTTGGTTTCAGTACGCTGCTAATTTACAATGACTTAAAGACAAAAATCTACATTTCTAATGTAAAAAGTCAAGCCATATTAAAAAAACTCCACCTTTCAAGTCTCTGTGCATCATAAGGAGCAAGGAAAATAAAATCAATTCTTCTGCAGATCACCTTTAAAGTTACTGACAAAACCCAAGGTGGTTATTTTTACACCTGTATGCAACCAGCTGTTTTAAGTGTTACAAAACATCACACTTCAGACCACGCATAAATGATGAGTTCAGATGAGCTTCACTACCTGAAATGAGGACATGGAGGAGCTTTTTCTTTGTAAGATTTCTGTATTATAGAGATGCACAGATGAAAGATTACGGAGGATGAACAGCACAGTTAACTTGCATCAATAGTCACAAACAACAAGGCTCTTCCTACAGATTCAGTCGTAGGAACAGCATCAAGTGTTCAGTACCTACTGTCAACTGCAAACGAAAAAAGTGAAATCCTCAAACCTTGGGACAAATCTTAGATGAAAGTCTTTAAAATAAAAAGATTGTGCAATTCCTTCAGTCAAGCAAGATATTCTACTACCGGATTTCCCTTCAGCTCTTCTCTGCCCAAATAAAGAAGGGGATCCCTACTACAGTGTTAAAGCTAGATACTAATAGAGCTAAAGAAACACTGTAAAGGATATTCCATCAATTAAAACAAAATAAATTAAATATTTTAACTCTTCTATGGTCATCAAAATCCATCAGAAATAATGTAAGAGGAACCTTCAGGTAACCTTAATTCTTCAGCAGAAATGCAGATTAACCATAATATTTACTACTCGGTATTTTCACGGCAGCATGGAATGAAGCTCTATTAAAAAAAAATAAATCTGATCAACACAGCCACCGTTTTAGGGAAGATCTTCTAAACATGAGTATCGACGAGTTCAAAATACTGTTGTGTGGTTTTAGTTTAGTTTTAAAACAAGAGCTATTTCTGATTTATAGTCAAACCTTGTATGTCATTTTTTCATTTTCAATCCATTCCACTTAGTTCTACTTTCCAGTCTGTTTGGGAATTGTTTGGAGCCCAAAACACCAAGACGCAACTGTTATCCATGTGGATTTATGACTTCTGTATGCTAGCTGACATTTTCTGTAGCAGCATCTGTTAGAAGTTTTACAGAATTGTAATGTTCTCCTAATCCATAGGCATGTCTCATATACCTAAAAAAAAAGTTACAGAATGAGCGTTCAGTTTAACTAAAAATATACATCACGCCAAACACTAACAGCACTGTAAGACATCCTTCCTAATAAATTCAAATTTTAGCACAGAAAATATATAGGGTCATTAAACAGGAGAGTATTAATAAGAGTTTTTAACTCTGTTGACTTCCAGGCACAGATTGACAAACTTCGAAAAGTGTCAATTTCACTGTTATTTTGTAATTATCTAACAGGTAAAATGACCTCGTAGTATTCTATAAAGCAGCGACCCAATCACACTTCAGATTGATTGCCAGCATTTTAAGAACTCCATTTACAGTATCTTTAAACTAGGCATGTCGATCACAAACACAATTTCTGACCTGCAAGATCATTATTCAAGCTGCATTTCAAAGTCAGATACGTAACAGAAAATAAAAGAGCAGATGAGAATCAAAGCTGAGCCCTCTGCTATAGAAATAAGTGCACTAATTTTAAGAAGGGATAAAATTACGTACTTACACAAGTATTATTGGTTTGCCTGAATATTCTTCACCAACAATAATCGGAGGGGAATCCATTTGCACTACTTCAATAGCTGTTTGCAAAATGTGCGACAAAGCCCTTAGCTTTAAGACATAAAAACAACTCAGTGGATTAAAAATAGGATTAAAACCAATGTAGGGAGGAAAGAGGAAGACATTGCATTTAGTTTCAGCAGACATGAGTTCAGGCATAACATTTCAAATATTGTTAAAAAAAAAAACTTTATTAAAATAAGCAAAATTAGTTTAACTTTTTAAACCTTAACTGAAAACAGGTTGCCTTAAATTAATCATTGTTTTGATGATCTAACACAGGTAACATTGGGCTAACTTCAGTAATTTGGTAACTACTCTTTCATTAAAAAAAAAAAAAAAACTTTATAAAAAATTATTAAAAATAAGATATAAACTTTTAATAAAGATATAAAAATACGTATTTTCTCTGGTTTACATTACAAAAAAATCTAACATTGCTTCACTCTAGTCAGCTTTGCTACCACCTAAGTCTGCATAAAACGCTTTCTCCTTAGAAAGTCTTCCCCTACTCATACTGTCAGCCTTTCTAATGATACTTAGAACTACTGAATTCATTAACTTGCATGTCATCAAATACATCAGAACGGCAACACACCATCAGAAAAGCTACTAATTTGGGAAGACAATTTATAACCACAGGAGAAAGTTCTTGATAAACTATTTATGACTATGTTCCCTTATGCCTTCAGCTATTCTTTCTTAAGAAGCCCTTTTTCGAAGGTATGCTGACCCACTTCAGAATTCCACAAATAAAAATTATCAACATGATACTTACTTCCAGCTGACCACCCCATGCAGCTGTATTTGCTATATCATCACAGTATTTTTCAAATTCCTCTGCAGGGAAGGAAAAGACAACTTTTAGTACGTTCCATATCTGAGAACAAGCAATTGAGGAAAAATACTGATTGTACAATGAAGACCTAGAACCTGAAAAGTCCAAACACATTATAGAAAATATGTATGTTCACTGAAGACAAGGAAAGGAAAAGAAAAACACCAGAGGCCAAAAAAAAAACTGTTTTAGAATGAAAACTTAAGACTGAAAACAGGAATAAAACCAAGTATGGGAATACAAAGTAGTACAGGTTTATATTTCAAACTTTTTATTCAGGGAACCATTAACAAGCAGCAGGATACTGCATACAGTTTTCTTCCTGTTAAGTTTCAGAGGGTATTGTCTTGAGACTCTGGAAAAGAATGTGGTAACAAGAAGCATGCTTAGTTCTTACATTAGCTAGGTGTCAGGTATGTTTATAAAATCTTGTAACTGTATGTAGTTCAACTGTTGGGTATTTTGTTTGCTTTAAAATTTCAAAATTAGCTGTCTTGGTTTTAATCTCTGAAGTATTTATTCCAAATAGTTCCTCTGTTAATAATAAAATAAACCTTTTGCTGATCATGTTCTACAGAAACCAAACTTTCAAATTTATAAATGACAACCCTTCAGGCTTCTGAATCCTACAAAGAGATTCTGATAAAGGAAGAACAGATTTTCTTAAGACTGGTCAGAATTGTTTTTCATACATTCCCCTTATAACAGACTTAAGAAAACCACGACTCCCTGCTGCTCCGCAGAACTTCACTCAGTCTTCTCTTGGGGCACATTTATCCTGTTACAATTATCTCTGTCAACATGGGAAAGACGCCTCCTTCTTCACAATAGTCCCCAGTCACCAAATGAAACCCACAATAGTAACTATTAATTTGATGTAGCAGTAAGTCAAAAAAATGTATAAAGTCATTTGCATGGTGTTCCAGACACACAGTAAGAAATGAATAAACCATGTATGGCTCCAATAAGAAGTACATAAATTCCACTTAACTGCATTTACTCACCCTACCCCATTGCTCCACACTAAATGCCTTTATATTTTTTTAGTTTAGTCTATTTATAAGAAAGGGCTCCAAAAGACTTAGTGTTGTCCTAGGTTACAGTGTAAAATGTGC